GAAGTTGAATAAATATATGATACTGCAATATATCAGCTTTAGTGCAGACAGGTCTGAAAACAAAGAGTTGTTATCACTGCAGACACCTAAATTTATGGTCTGCAGTGCACAGAGACACATTCTCCTATATCTTTTCACAATTTACCCCCTTAAAATGTATGAAAACCTTCTCCCTGGACCTGCTCAGGGCAGAGCGAAAGATTTTCTCATAAAATAAAGAATGCATGCAGAATTTTGATAATATGTTTGATATTATAAGTTTAATTTTAGAAAATACTGTGCTGAGTGGTGAGTTTTACAAAACGTGGTGCTCAGCAGAAATGACTGTGTCAATAAGTAGTCATACCAGCTTTAATCAGCACTGATGTACCATCTGTGTCCCCCCTGAGAAAGCACCTGTGTTCTCCACACTGCATGGAGATTGTGTCCAGATCACTCTCTGTGATTTGGTCGAAATCAGCAGTATTCAGCATAAAGTCTGAAATGTGTATTTACACAGATACTTCTAAGATGGAGACGGCTCAGCCGTAGGGGTCCATTTGACTGTATAGGGGAAAGGGATCTTTAATATTGGAATAAGCTGAGGTCAGACCACTATCACTCAGTTTTTTATTCGCTTTTTTATTTCTTGTGGGTTTTCTTGCGCGGCACTGTTCAGTTATTTGGACTAAATGTTCAAAAATCTATGTTTAAAAATGTATTTCGTTGTCATTAATTGGACTAAGGAAAAGGACCCTGACAAAGCACACTGCTTTCTGACAGGATGAGACTGAAACTTTGGACTGATGAACACAGTAGGTAAACACCTCACAATAGAGGGAAGAAAAAAAAAGCATTACAAAGACAATACACAATATGAGACTAGCTTAAGTGCCATGAAGGCCATTTCCCATCCAACTATAACAATACAAATAAGTTTAGTGCTGTCACTTTAAATTTCCCTAAAGCCACTTTTACATTTTCCATTTGCTTGATTATTTTGACTAAAATGTGTTCCAAAATGATGATTGTTTCTGTTTTTTGCTTCAAAAACGTGTTAAAGATGAACAATTCTAAAAAAAACTAATATATTTACAGTCCGGGGGAATGATCCATTGGATAATTTGTTCATACCTCTAAGATGAATGAGTGAAAGTAATGAGTAGTGTCAGTTATTGGCATGATTCTCATTTAACGTCATCTCCTCATCTTGGTGCTGTTTCCTCAGCAAAATCTGTTTGAGTCTGTTTCTTCCTGTGATAAGTCCCCCCTGCCACAATCCTTCAGCCCATTTCACATCAGACTCAAACTCTCCCACCGTTCTCGCTCCAGTCAAATTACTGCCCAACAATCTGGACACTGCATCCCGGTCCACGTGTCTGAAAGGATGGAAAAAGAAATTTGCCAAACCATTGCTCCTTGTGAATATTTTTACTGTGTGCGGCGTGGTGTTAATCTTCATCAGCTTTGCCTCACAAATTCTATTAATCACTTCAGTAAGAAATCAATAGAGTGCGGAACGGCTCACATATCACAGTAATTCATCTCCCTTTCAGTTTTCTCTCATTTCAGATTCTTCTTTAAAAACAACCCCCCTCCCTAACTCCCCGTGCTCAGACTGAAACTTACCTCAGCCCTGATTTTGAGCATCTTTATGGAAGTTCTTGATTCAAAGTTGGCTTTCATTGCAATATAATATTTGAATACACTCTTGTGTAGTTGAATTTGACTCTGAAAATTCGGAATAACAATCTGATTATCTTTGTTTCTATGCAATAAGGCTTGGAGAGAAAGCTAAGATATAAACTAATAATAATAAACTAATTGGTAACTGCTTAAAAAAATATCTGAGGCTGTTTTGAATTGTGTGCGGGATTTAACAATTTGGTATATTAATCAAGGTCCCTTGATACATAGACAGGCAGGCAGATTTATGCACTTGTAATCTTTTTATTGTTGGGGAGCTGTGGCTGTGATTATGAGTCAGTGCCCTGTGAGATACAACTCATCCCTTACCTCTTCCTGGAGACCTTGCAGTCGCTTTGGAAGTTTTCCTGCAGTGGATTTGAAGCAGAGCTTCTGTTTATGATAAGTCTCATATTCAAGTGAGATGTGGACCTCATGTGGTGCCTGAGATTGCAAAACATGAAGCAGCAGAATTGGATTGCGGCCGTGTTTTGTGCTGCCTGGCAGCAGGAGCTTAATCGAAGTATGTGACCAATCCAACACAATGCTGTGTATGTTTGTATATGAGCTTACCCGATGCATTTTATATGCTCATGTCCTGGAACAGAATTGCAGGTCTAGATATTTAGCGGGTATTCATTTAGTTTGTATATGATGACTTTTTATGTCTAATCACTATTATTTTGAGCTGTTTACAAGTGACAGGAAACAGAAAATTTGTATGATAAAGTAGTGTGTGCATATTGCTTACCGCAGCTCATTTCCCTCTAAGTCTGAAATCACTGAGTAGGAAGTGTAATTTGTGAAGACAATTACTATATGTGTCATTTTTAGAAGATGAATTTCCGGAAAAGCTCCATCAGAATACTTTCTCTTCTTTTTTTCTTATCTCCCTCAGGCTGTGTATGCCATTTAAACACGGAAATTATTTTGTTGCAACAATAAACATTAACTAATTATTTGTAATTTTCCATTTTCAATCTCCTTAGTCAGAAAATTGGCACTCAAAATTCTCAATATATAGACAACAATAACTGGGCCTCACAATAGCACATTAGTTAGAATTGAGGAAGCAACACATTAATAAACAATTAAAATCCCTTTATTTTTTCATTTTGATCAGTCTTATTTAAATGTGGGTGTAGTTATCTCAGGCCAGGTATCTTTTAGGTTTTGTGTGTGCTTGAGCATTTGTGTTGGCGATATTTCATTTTCATTTGCCTCACCGAGAAAAACCATACACTGGTGAATAAACTGCTTTAGCGTCGGACTGTCTGGCTGAAAAGCCTGTTCCAAATAGATGGAACTCTGTTGCAAAAAGCTCTTTCCTCTCGCTGCTCGTGTGTAACAATAATAACAGCAGTGTTTCTGTCCAATACGTCATTGAGTTTATGCGTTTGAGGATTCTATGGGGAACATCTCAGTCAAGACTAACACAATCAAGTTTTTAAATGTTTAATCCGATTTGTCTCCTGCTATTATCAAAGCTCCTCCCTGTTTCATTGACTTTTTTTCTTTTTTGCAATGATGATATACTTTTAAAGACTAAATGTTGTTATTGAAAAAAAAGGAAAAAGGAGAAACCTCTTTCAAAATGTTCTCTTGGTGATGCTTCAAGTGTTTGCAGACCTGGAGCCAAGAATTCTTGAGAATTGGCTGTGTAACAGATGGAGAAAGGGATTAAGTTCATTTTTGGTCTGGTTGTCTTTTTGGCAAACTTTCTGCCTAGCTTATGAAAATGCTGCTGGGCAGTTAATTCTGAGAAGCAACTGAACTAAACAGAGAGGAAAATTAGGTTTGACATAATAATAAAAGCTACAAAATGATGTTGCAGTGAAGTGAACAGCTGTGAAATGAGAAATTAAGAAAAAGCAAGAAATCAATCTTAAAAGTGTACTTTGGAAAGATTCCAACAGAGGACATAATGCACTTGGGACATGAGTATGAATGAAAATGTTTAAAGATGTAATTAATTTGATGTCCCTTGAAAAACAGGTATGTTTGGCATCAGGGGTATTGCCATCAAATATTGCTTTACATTAGAAAATATATTATTTTTTATGTCTCTGTATAAGTTTAGGATATGTTGTCAGAGACTGTCAAATTGATTGAAGACATCTGATCTGTTCATTCGTTGAACCATCTGAAGATTTCTGAGTTATCAGGAATATGAAGATAGACACATTTTCAGCCAAGTTTGAATTCTGAAGGAAATGGAACTACAGGTTTGCTGGATTGTCAATCTGAACCTGTCAGCATAATATTTGGTGGTATTTTCCTGTAATTTTATTCAGGAATATTTTATTGTGTGATAGTAAAGCTGAAACTTGCTCTACCAGGCTTCACTGTACCAACATGTAAAGTTTGGAACAGCTAAAATAATACCACTAACCTTGGCGTTCCATCTTGTCTGAAGTACAGTTTGAAACGTTACACTGAAAAAAAAGTACAAAAGACAAAGTTATCCTGTAAGAATACAATGATTAAGGAATATTTTTTGCATAGCTGTAATTCATCATATTATTATTCCCTAGATTGAATGTGTTTCTATAGAAGTTCTGTAATATTGGTGCTGTGGTGGTCTCTCCTCCAGGTAGTGGGTCAGTATCTAGATCGTTTGACTGTCTGGTGGCTGAGCAGGGCTGCATCCAGGAGCAGTCATGCATGGGCATCTATCGACTGCTGGAGTATTGTGCTGCTGAGGAGGCTGTGTCGCCCCTCGGTCCAGATGCCAGGCTGGAGTGCCTGGAGGCCCAGAACTCCCTTCAGCATTATCGACCCTTTCAAGTTTGCAAGTGTCAGCGTGGCTCTCGGAGGGAGGAGCCCTGCCTCAGGGTCTACTGGACGGTGAGATTTGCAGGTAGGTTAAGACATTAGCCGTTTAAGGCATGTCTGTCAAGCCTCAGCTCCATCATGCAAATGATCTATTTTTCTTCTTGATATTTCAGCATATGATGAGTATGAGGTGTCTCCGTACGAGGAGCTGGAGTTCAGTCTGGTGAGAAACATAGAGATGTCACGCATGGCCTCCATCAAGGCAGGTAGGGAACGTTTTATTTTAGTTAAGTAACCAGATTAAATGAATGTCATGTTCATTTTTGGTTTACAGCACACAGTTTTCTTTTCTTTCTAAACTCCCCAGCTTCCTCTCTGACTGTGGACGGCCAAAACCAGTGTCTGAAGGCCGCTCAGGACTGCGGCCTGTATGAGAAATGTGGCTCCCTGCGGTCGGAATATGTTGTAGCCTGCACCAAGCCAGCCACAGCCACCGACAGCAGCTGTAACCGCCAGAAATGCCACAAAGCTCTGCGGCGTTTCCTGGAGCGTGTGCCAGAAGAGTACAGCTTTGCTGTGCTCTTCTGTCCCTGCTCTGACACCCTGTGTGGGGAGCGCCGCAGGAAAACCATTGTCCCATCATGCTCCTATGAGGAGAATGTGAGAGGGGAGGAAAGAGTGGGCAAGCCCAACTGCTTAAGTCTACAAAACTACTGCTCCAGAGATGAGCTGTGTAGGTAAGATAGTATGAATGTGGGAATGAAGTGCCGGTATATAAATTATCCTTTACGAGAATTGAACACTGAACAACATGGTACCTAGTATTCAGACAAGCCACAAATTCTGTAAAGGTACCAAAATATGTGGGGCACAGTATGAAATGCTTCTCAAGCCACTATCCATCAGTCCATTCTCCATTCTGTTAAGTCTTTTCAATGGGCATATTAGCAACATATGGAGCAGAAATTCTAAAGCAACTCCTATTTAGAATTCACTAAATTAGCCCAAGGCTGTCTGCACAGCTGTAAATATAATATATAAATATATTCTTAATAAGGAGAGTCCCCAGTGATTTATTCTTCTAGGTTATCTGCCTTAACCAACTGAACAGATTTATGGTGAAACGTCAGTGTTGGTTAGAAACTCAGCCCAGGTTTTCTGATTGTGGAAATGTTCATGCACATTTCAAACAGATGGATTTGGCATCAGACAGCAAATCACTATAAATATTTCCAGCAAACTGGAAAGCAACAAAGATGCTGAAACCAAAGCAGCAAGAAGCTGATAAAAACAGAAAAGGCATGTACACTACATCAATGATTAAATGAATAGGCTAAGGCTAATGTCAGAATAACATAACTGAATAAAAATTAGATCTGATTGATTTATGCTTGTTTATTTCAATAAATGAAGGTGCAGCATTTTTCGCTCATTATTAAGGTGTGTGCGAGTATCACTCAGATGGAACAATAGCTGCTTGATGCTCATTACATTATAAGCTCGATGTAGTTCATTTTCTCCCAGCCTTGTCTTAAAATGCTATACAAGATAGGTTTTAATTTTGGGGTTATTTAAATTAGTTGTGAAAACATTTTAAGACACTAATGCGGATACAAATTTATAGCTTTTGAAATATTTTAGTACAAATTTTATACATTGTAAAGCCAGCAGGAACAAACTTTTGGAGTGATCAGTCTCTATTTTAGACTTCTGAAAAAGAAAAAAATAACAAGTACAGAGAGACGGTTCAAAAAGACCCATCTCATTGTCTAGTACTTTTATAATGGGACTTCTATTACGTTGCCATGGTGACACCAGGTGAATCAGTTTTTTCGGTTTGGAAGCCCACAGCTGAACCTAAAGTTACCTCTAGAAACCACTAATCCTGCTTCATCGTAGAGGTCCCTCGAACACCTCAGCTGGCCGCCCTTTATTGGTTGGAGGGAACAGGTCTATTTTGAGCTCTGATCCTGGAGAGTGTGCTGAGCTTTTGACCAGAGCTGAGGATGGGATCCAATGTAAACTCCTCTTCCCCCCCAACATCACTGCAGAGGCTGGATCTTATGGTCTCTTTTCAAATGGGTCTTGACTAAGACCTTGAAACTAAACTTGTCTGCCTGAGAAAGGACTTCGCCTAAATGCAACACAACTTTATTTCCAGGAGAGAATCAACCGTGAACACTGAGTCATTATCGATTAATAGCGGCCGGTTTGTTTTAATAAGCTTGTACATTAGACAGCAAATAAATAAAACCATCTTTCTTTCCTATTTCCCAAAGTAATTACTTCAAATAGTCATTAATATCTAAAAGCCCAAGATACCCAACTGTGAGTAGCACAGTCGCACAATTAAAAGCTGAGAGCACAAACACCACCTACAGTACGTAACACACACAAAACAGAGATGATACTGTTCCAATATCACAAACAGGTTAAACACAAAAGCAACATTTATTTAGATATTTTGTGTGCTTTTAGTGAATCAAACACTGAAATCCAGGCGAAAAAGCAGAATAAAACAACTTGAGAGAAATGTGATTTTCACCTAACCTGGCCAGACTGCAGTTAAGAAAAAAATCTCTGCTTAAATTACAGAAAGAAAAATTGCCTTGACATAATGACTCAGTTGACTCTGATGGTGTTGACAGCCATTTAATAAAAGTATTTAGGGTTATGGGATTGGATTATGTGGCCTCTTCTGTTTGTGTGACAAGCAACCATTTCAAAATCAAAGTGTTTTATCATAGAATTTGTGCCGGCTAAAGAACCTTGAAAGAAAGTTCCTTTTTGAATCTATAAATGTCACTTACTCGGAAATTGTCTACTAAACAACAGCATGGTCTGTATGACCATGGAATAAAGGGATTATGTTTACTTTTCCGATTGATTTTCCACAGAGAATGGACCTCTTATCCTAAAATGAAACCGTCACAACTTTAAAATGCAAAATGTTTTTCTTTGACGCATGACATACAGATTTCTCCTGTGTCTCTGAGCCTGTTTTGTATTTGTGTGTACAGATCCCGCTTTGCTGATTTTCAACACAACTGCCAGCCCTCCACTCTTTCAGCCTCAGGCTGTATGCGTGACAGTAGAGCCATGTGCCTGAAAGCCTACACTGGACTCATAGGTAAGGAAAGGAAAAAGAGTGAGGTTTGGAAAAATAATTAATCGTTGTCGCTACTGCTGAGGTCTACCACTGATCTGATCTATATAATTTTCATTTAGTTTCACCAATAACTGCACAGGCCTTCACAGAGTGTCACCCGTCAAAAGCGGTTGCTCTGGGAATTCAGTTAGAATCCCTTTAAAAAACTTGATCAAAAATTATGTTTCCTGCAGACCCATAAAATGGTGCAGGTAATAATATTTCCTTTTGTTTCCCGCATTGAAAAAGTAATTTTGTGAACCAGCAATTACAAATTGTGAGCGCTGTGAATCTGCTGATTCGATCTGCAGGGCATCTAATATAGGTGTGAGCAGAAATCGAAATTCCTGGTCAAAGGGAAAAATAATTCAAAAAGTTCTCAAAGTTGCCTTTCTTCTTCTTTTCTATGACAAGGGACCATCATGACTCCCAACTATGTGAGCAACAGCAGCACTGAAGTGTCTCAGTGGTGCTCATGTGAAGGCAGTGGGAATGACCTGCAGGGCTGTCAGCGCATCCTGCATATGTTCAACAACAACATCTGTCTACGTGAGTTCCATTTCACAGGGTTTTGGGCCAGAATTGCATGGCTTCAGAGCTGCAAATGTGCAAACAGATCCAGTGGTTGTGACAGTAAAAAGATCCTCTAGCTTTAAAACAAGCTTAAGTGACAGTTCTGGACATTGATTATGAAATGGGCTGCTTCCATTTGCAATACTTGTGAGGGCAATGTTACAAATGTCATCTATTATTTCAATACTGAGTGACGGTATAAAAAGAGCTCCGAATGAAAACACAAATCAAATCAAACATTATTACAGCTCAGAGCAGAACTTTGAGTGACAGACTGCTTATGTTCATGCTAAGTAACGTGTAACTCACAGCCCTCCTATTTCAGCATAAGAGTAGAAAATGTATCTTTCAGCTGTCAAATGGGAGTTTTATCTAAACTCATGCTGATATAACTGAGCACTTTGTAATACGCATTAATTCAGAATTCAAATAAGGCAACTTACAATTGATGATTGAGAGGGCAAGTCACTGAACCGTAATGTTTTCCTATAAATAAATGAATAGAAAGAGGCGCTCTTCTAGTTTTTGGCTGCCTGCCAAATCGGAATGTGATTTCCAGGCTCTTTGTAGTCAATGAGTCTTTTCACCAAATCTGATAAACAGAATGTGGCTTCTTGTTGAGTTGTTGCCAAACCAAAATGAGCAGAGAAGCATAAAATGTAACAATTCAAATTGTACCGTTCAGGTATAGAAATAGCTAAGTTGCTGTTGCGTGTTTGTTTACTGTGGTCAGTGCGGTCAGTCCATTGCATTGGGAAGCTCAGTAAGATGCCTTTGATGATACAACAGTTTCTGAATTTCACTCAACAGTCTATACTCATCTTGTTATTTATACCACTGGGCTACAGCCATCATGTGGAGGCTGGGAATGGTTGCATTTCCTCACCAATACATACTAAAGATAATGAAACACAATAGGTGCACGGGCCTATTGGAGCATGTCTCAACACTATATTGGATTTAAGCCAGATCCAATTATATTTAAAAAGTTTAAAGTAAATATATAATTACAATATTTGTGTTGTTGAGTAACAATTATATTTTGGAAAAAATATCACTTCACACCTTCACACCTGATGGGTTCAGGTTAGAGGATTTGAGATACTGGAACTAAACCAAAAGTAAATGCAGATGCATATCTCAGACTCATTGCTCACGTGGCTTTTGAGATAAATCAGTTTGAAACAAATCTCGTCTTTTCTAAGGAGCATCTTAAAAAATCTTATCCGGCCATTAGAAAATCATTAGTAAATGCACTTATTATGTTTTTCTGACAATTCAGAGATGTGAAACTAATAAAGATCTTCCCTGCTGATTTTGTTTCAGGCAATGCCATCAACTCCATGGGAATCTCTGCCCATCCTCCGGTGGAACACACTCCCGTGCCAGTTTCTCAGCCACCGCCACACATTCACCAGGAGAAAGTCCATGTCAGTGTTAACACCTTCCCTGAGTTTAACAGCGTAAGTATTTACTCCTTCTACACTGTCTCACCATGTTGGTGTCAGACACTTGATCTCAGCACTGCAGCCTGTACAGTCACAATAAAAAACAAAAGGGTGTCTACTTTGAGTTCAAAATATTAATATTTTATAACATATTAATAAAGAATGTTTTTTTTTTACAATGCTTAAATTTAGGTTGAAACTATTACTAATATATGCACTAAACTGTGTACATTCAATTATAAGAATAACCAACGTGTGCAAAGTACAGCTCATGATTCACTCGATTTCTGAACCATCTTTAACAGCAATCAAAGCAATCATTTTTTGCATCTGTCAGGCTATTGGAGAAGTTTTTTGCCTCTTTCCTAACAGAAGAATATGATCAGGCAGCACCAAGCTGCTACCTACCTCAGTATGGAGCTCAGTATGTTTGTTTAGTTTTCGTTCAATAGATAATGCCAATTTGTTATGTAATTTGATGTAATGTTTTTCAGCTGTGGTGTTTCCCACATTTTAAGGCCTGGTAGGGACAAGATTATTCTTTTAAGAGGTTGTACTTTTTTTTCTTCAGATGACTGTATTTCAGGTTTTAGTTTATACATATCAAAAGAGACTCACAGTGAGCTAGGCTCAGAAGCTTCTTGTATAATCTCAGATTATTTATGTTCCCCTACCTCTCTTATCACCACCTCTCAGTGTGGTTGAGGTTTAGCCGTACGTGTTTTGCAGCATTAGACTAAACCGTTGCTTTTAATATTCATGAATGCGAACACATCTGCTCCATACTATATATTCCTTTGTAATCATCTTAACTCTGTATCACCTCTTCTTATTGTCAAATTTCAAGACTTTCAGATATACAGGTAATTTATTTCTTACAGACACTTGGTGAGATGATGATGTCTAATAAATACACCACAGTATAACACACACAGTGACATGATTGTGCTCAAAAGAATAATAATACATTTCTTTGCTTACCTCGACCAAAAGGTCAGACAAGTGTATCCTGACACTTCCTGTGTTTGAGAGAAGGCTTTTCTCTATGGTCGGTATCTCAAACCAGTTAATGAAAAATGTATGTTGAAAATGAAAGTGGCACTCATATGGCACATCCTACCCAGCCAGGGCCAACAGCTTAGTTTGCAATTCAAAGGAAGTAAGTCGGAACTGCTCACAGCCAAATTGTGAATGTTGTTCTCATGCCTATCCTCCGTTACTTCATAACCAAATTTTGCATTACATTTCATGTGTTATATTGTGAGCAGAGAGATATTCAGATGTCCTTGGTCAAAGAATAAAACCCTTCAGAAAGAGCTTTTTTCAAATTTAGTTTTCTTTACTTGCTTGTTTACTTTATTTCTTTTTGTCCTTACAAAATAAACTATCATTTGTTCTTGAAGAAGAAAGCTCAGTTTTTATAATAGTTGGAAAAAAAATTAAAATCAATTACATATTAAATCAAAGCTTAATAACCATTCCCCAACTTCGAGTTTTACGTTTTTGAGACAAAAACATTCATACTGATCTGACAACAGATCATCATTGTTTTCTTAGTTACAATGAGTCTTCATAAGTTTCCCTTTGTTTTTCAAATCAGCCTCAAATGGCGCTATCATAAATTAAGGAATGCAGTGTTCATTTTTCTTTAGTTGCATCTAAAAGAGTAAAGAGTAAAATGTATCATCGTGATCAGAGTGTTTCACTGTTTTCTAATCTTTGAGAAATGGATAAGAAACCCAACACTGATTAGATTAACTGCCTTTGATGCAAAGGGTTGACTTGAAAAGGACTGCAGTTTACCAGGATATTTGAGCTCAAAACAATGGCTGAACTTATGAAACCACATGATAGAGAGAATACCTTTAGAGAGAACACTGTGCTATTTATTAATTTCTTCTGAAAGATATCAAATCAGATTGCCAGGAGGCTAACGGAAAGTAAAATGTCTCTAAAAGCCAAGTATTTTTGCTATAAAATCTCTACTCCCTGGAGTAAAAATGGCAAAATGTGTTAGTTGCCAGTACAATATGTATGGAAATCAGACACGTCCCCTATAGGCAAGATAGTATATAGAATGACAGATCTGCAGAAATGGGGATACAACAATTTCTCATAATACATGTGTCAGTAAAGCTTCTGGTCAACCGCGGCATAATTGTTAAATCTCAGAGGTGATTTCTTGGTGGTGCAGCAGGAAGGCTCGACCCTGCTTTCACATTATTTGGATGTCATGGGACATAGTAATGTTCTTCACTGCAGGTCAAGACAAAATTTCTAATCAGCATTGGCTCAAGTTTCCACTTTGCCTCAGTCCATTTTAAATTAGCTTCCGACCAAGATGTCAGCGGCGTTTCTGGATCATGTTCACATCTGTCTCCTGTGCTTGATAGAGCTTTAACCTGCATTTGTAGATGTCTCTGTGAGCTGTGTTCACAGACAGTGACATCTGGAAGGGATTTCCCAGACAAAATTACGACTGTTTTCAATGCACTGTGGATGCACGGGCTGAAAGATCAAAAGCATCCAATTTTGGTTTTTGGCGATGTCCATACAGAGAGATTTCTCCAGGTTTCTAAGAATCTTTTAATGATATGTAAAGCTGTAGATGATAGAACATTCAAACTCACAATTTTACTGGGATGGACATTATTCTAAAATCATGTGATAATATTTTGTTCTTTTTTTGCTGATAGTTGAACCTCTGTCTATCTTAATTTCTTATTTCTTATTATGTCTATTTGAGGTATTTTTGTGCCCAATCATTTAGCTGAGCTGTTACTGTTTTTTTTAACCTGTTTGTGCTTAATGTGACTTATGTATCCAGCCTGTCTTTGCTCCACTCTAACTTTTCAACCAAATTCAAGATAAAAAATAGTTTTACGACATTTGTATTATTCTGTATTTGTATTATAAGGTATATTATTAGACGATTCTCCAACTTTATAAAAAGTTAAGATTCTGTACGATCAGTTCTATGAGATAATTACTGTGTTTTCACACTGAACATAAACAAATGACAAGGCTAAAGTTATAGTTATGCGAAGTATTAATATTATGAGATTACTTCTCATAATATCACCTCTTTTACTTCATGGCTATTTTGACTGTAGCCTTAGAATATATTTCTGTGTAATAAACGCTACGTTATGTAGACTGTTTCCTACTGACCTCCCTTACACGCTTCCCTGCTCTTGTTAATTGAAGGAATTGCTCTTTTGGTGCTTTTACAGATGGAGGACAGTGAGGAGGAGGAGGTGGAGGAACAAGAAGAGGAAGCAAGCAAGGAATTCAATGTCATCCCACCATATTCTGAGAAGGACTCCAAGACTGAATCGGGTGCCAGGGGGAGTCCGCGGGGAGCAGCTAGCCAAGCAGTACCTGCTTTGCCATCATTGCTTCTGCCAATTCTCATCCTGAGCTGGAAGTGTCAGAGCCTCTGAAAACCCCAGTCTTATTTGAATCTTGCATTTCACACTCACTGCTGCTGTCAAATCCATCCCAGAAGAAATGTAAATGCTTACAGCGCTTTCTTTCACGCCCAGCCTTTTAAAAAAAAAAGAAATCCCAACTTGATTAATTCAGTTCTTCCTCTTGAGCCTCCTCAAGTTCAACATGATATTCATCATCTTGCAGTGTCTTTGCTCCAGTCATCTTCCATGAGTGGAAGAGAGCCACATGAGCAGATATATGAGTGCATGAATGAATTGAGAAGTGCTGTCTGGGCAAATTCTCTAACTGGAGCTTGCTTCACACTCAAAGTACATCCCCTCTTTTATAAAGAATCACATCGCCCAAGGCTGCATACACTATACATGACTCCAAAAACCATAGCCAGTCTACTTCACTGCAACTGGGCACAAGTACAGCTTTTGATTTCTATTTCATGACTCATGTCACATCCGTTTCACTTCTGCCCCTTCGGCTCTTCCTCTCCCTCCGTCATGCTGTAGTCGAGCAAGATAATCCACTTTATGACAAGCTAATAAGAAAGTGAGCCGCACTTGCTTTGTAAAATTAAAAAGGAAATACGTAGTGAAATTGTTTCTTTCACTGAGGGATGAGATGCAAATCAGAGTGCCGTCACATTTATGTGGTCCTTCTCACTTGGAGAACCAACAGCCAGTCACTCTGCTTGCTTTATTTAGTTAACACACCACTAAGTATTAATTCAACCAAAGCAAGTGACTGAGAACTCAACCGCAGGCAAAATTAATGAGATCAAATTCCAAAGTATAAATGATGTGGAGAGAAAAGCTACATGAGCAATTCAAATTGCACTGCATGCAGGTGAGGTCTGAAATAAAGCTCACGGGAGAAAAAGGCAATTTACTGCTGTCATACTCTCACTTTTCTATCCTTAGGAAATCTGTTTTTAGTGCTAGTTCTCCATGTACTTTTCAATGGTGTGAGAGTGAGATGCGGCGGCAGGGACGGACACAGGGGGCTGTAGAGCCTGCTGTCTTCTCTGATCATTGAGCAGCACATTGAGCCATTCTCTCTGCCTGAAATATCTTTTGCTGATGTTAATGGTTTTTCCTCTTATGGCTCATTTTCCTGTGAAATTAAGGAGCTGCAGGGATGGAGGTAAAGAAAAGTACAGGGAAGTTTTTGCAGAGGGATAAACTTGTCTAATCTTTTAAATTGTGGCCAAGATATAACCAGCCTGCGCTCTGCATTGAAAAGTTGTTTTTCTAATGCCTCATATAGTGGTTTTATTGTGATTATATTGTGGTCCTTGCTTTTTCAAGTCATTGTATATAGTGCTGTAGCTGAACTGGGAACTCTTTACTATATTGTATTGTTTGGGTATAATTGGGAAACATTTAGCCCAGAGCATTTTAAAACCATTGTTGAACTTGTTTTCATGAGATCATGACTTTGAAATGTATACAGATTGGTACATGAGGGTAGAAATGCATTGGAAGCATATGATCCCTTTTGCTCTGACTGGCAGACCTACCCTACTTCCTATTTTACACAAGTATAGGTTGGACTTTGATTGTGACTTTGGTTGTGAGGCTGAGATATGCAGCTGTTGCATACTTCAAGGTAAAATGACATCATGCATGTTTTTTTATTACTTCAGAGAAGCAAGTGGATGAGGAGAAATCCCATTGGAAAGTTTTGAAGTATGACAGCATGTTTGGTTGGTGCTGGGAGAGAAAATCATTTTTGAACAGATTAACCGAAGGAAAATGTCTGTCTGGAAGACCAACTGGTATTCATATGTGTCAATCCAACCGTGGAAGAGATATGTTGCCATTCTCAAAGAATAAGCAAACAAACAAAAACTCAGCCCATCACAGCATTATGGTGCAATGAAAGGGGTGATGCAGTGAGTTAAGTGAGTTATCAAGAGAACAGCATCCGGTAACAAGTGTCAGCTGCTGCATCCACTGTGCTCTGGCCTTAATTAATTCATTTGAGTTTACATGTATTTTCTCACCTTGGTATGTTTGTTTATAGTGTAAACTATGTAAAGTAAACATTTACATGAATCTTTGCTTTTTATTATGTGAGTGTAAAAAAAAAGAAAGAATATCCATCCATAAGCCAAAACCTTAAAGGAAACATATGAACATTTCCTACGTCAGACAGTTTGAATCATTAAAGTGGTGAGACTATGTACAGAATTGTTTCATGTGCCAACTTTCCTGTAAAAACATATCAAACATGCCAAATGATTCTGAATATAATGTGTACTATCTGTGTAATGTTGTGCCATAACAGTGAGTATGACACTTTGATTAGAATAAAAGACCCATTCGAAATGTTGTTTTGCGTCATCCCGAAAACAGGAAAGAAGTTTGCTGGTAATGAACATAGGACATTTCTCTATAAATTGCCTCTCTTTCCTTGTGGTTCATAAGAAGACAGACAGCAGCAGCTGTCTGCTATTGTGAACATTAATTTAATTTTTAGTTGCCAGGTTTTTTACGTCAAGTTAAGAATTTTATTGCATCCTTGGACCTTAATTTGTTTTGCTTTTAAGAAACTAATTTACTCTCCTTGTCCCTATCACTTTAGGATAGAAAGAGCCAATGCGGCTGTATCTCTATTTCCTTTCTGAGTGATAGGGATAATTACAAGGTTCTAAGGATTTCATATAAAAAATGACCCTGCTGTGACTGGAACAAGCTTCAGTAGAATGACTTTTAGAAAAATCCAGTTTCACTTTAATTATGAAAAGTACAGCATGAGGGCTTTTGGCCTCTGTTTTTGGTGTCAAAACTCCGCCAACTATCTACAACACTGTGTTTCTACTTTATTAATCCCCCTAAGGAAAAATATCCAAACATTGTACTCATTCTGTTTCTAAGCATTACGTTGCCACATAGCTCTTAAGATGTTTTGCATGCTTTCAAACATCTCCCACAAGTAATTTCCACTTCAAATCACAGCTAAATAGTTTATAAACAATGCTGTCATGACTGCTGCCCAAAAGTATTACTTTCAGTGGTGTTTTTTATTAAGTATGGAGCCGGTGAAGAGGGGCTGTAGTTCAGGGTAACAAAAGACATGTAAACAGCAAAATGGCAGCTTAGCTAATCAATCACCTAATTGGATGATGTGAAATTAGCTGATACTGTGTCAGTGGAAATGTGACAGAGCAGCCTCTTGGAAATTTAGTTTACTTGACACTTGTGAAAATGTACACCCTGACATCCTGTTCACTCTTGTAAAGCTTTCCATTTGGAAATTGTTAAGAGTTTCATCCATTGATTATTTTAGGGATGGCATCATGGAGGGAATGCTCCATGCCAAGTTTGATGTATACACACAGGGTGGTCAAAGAGGTCATCTTTATTTTTATAACATCAGAGAATTTCATTTCTAGTGGTCTGACAAATATTAATGTATATTTTAGTGACCTATTTAACATTCCTGTAAGGATAAGAGGAAGGTGTAGGCTTTCCTAATTGCTTCATCAGAGCTCAGTCCGTCACAGGAGGGCAAGGACCACTGACAGATTTGGGGTGCACGAAAGCTCAGTCGTACTATAACAGAGTCCGATCATTTAAGTCAGTCGAACAGTTCAGTCCATAAAATGTATTGGCCTCATATGTACAGAGCTTTCCAAAAAACTTTGATTGACCTGTATACTTTAGTAGAAAAGGGGGACTGAACTTACCAATAGTGGTTTCCACAGTATAAGGGATAAATTAAACTTTGCCAGGGTATGAAAACCTTCATACTGTAGGTTTCTTTTTCATTGTTAGATAGCTGGTAAGAGATGGGCTTTTAAAAAACACTGCTGATGTTTATCACTTTTATATATTGGGACACCACAGTCTTATCAGAAAATTTGTTACAGCTTTTATCAAGAAATCCAAAACAGAGTAGAAAGAGTGGGATAACAAGAAATTCTGACCTTTGAGTCGACTATCATGCAGCATCTGCATCTTATAGTGAGTCATAATTACTGAGAGCTAAAACTCCATCCATGCATAACTATATAACCATGGCTACTGTACTTAGTTAACAAGTAAAACAATTGGACCATATAAACATGACCAGCGGGACCTTGAGATATCAAATATGCATGTCATGACGGACAAATGGACAAGCTGAAAGTCTGCTTCATCATTAAGTGAGATGTTGAGTGTGCATGTTGTCACTGGGAGAGGTTTCAAATGTTACTGTCATCACGTTGAGGTTTCATATGAGACGTGTGTTCTGTATCAGAGAGCAGAAGGCGTGACAGAAACCAGGTGAGCAAATATCACATCAAGGGTTGGAGCACTTTGTAGTCAGGGTTAATATAATGAACGGGAGAAGACAGTTATGCAATCTCACAGTTAAAAGAACAATTTCCGACCCTCGTAATCACCTAGACTTCCTCCTAACATACAGTCATAGTCCCAGCAAAAAACGTATGCATAGGTGATTAATCATTTTATCACAATGCAATGCCCAGGACGGAAACCTTGGACCATTGTATATTATTCTAACACCAGCAGCCTAAATAAACAGTGTCACAGACAAAGCCCAATCAGTGAAAACCGCCGCATCCCCCAGCACAACAGTTTGGCCCACTAATCTGTCATGAAGCTGTCATGTTAAAGTTACACTGAACTGAAATGAAGTTAAATGCCTTATTTTTGCACACTTTATTTTTGCAGTATGATGAGCACCTGGGTGATGAACATTATGTAAAAACTGAAATGGCTGTATATTAAAGGCTTTGTGGAACCTACATTAAGATATTGCATGGTCATTTAATAGTGGAGTAGAACTTGCTGCTTACCATTCTCAAACAGGGATGTGAGAAAATAATAGCAAATTGTGCTGCACAGCGGAGCTCAAAGTTAGAATCCTGTTAGTGCGAGGTGACAGTAATCAGAAATGAGCTGGTGCGTCACTCTGGGGGGCTTTCAAAAGACTTCGTGTTCCAGGACTGTGCAGAAAAATATACATTAGATCAGCTGTTAAACTAATGTGCTTATCCAATCAGCGTTTGGTCTTGTTTCAATTGTTGTGTGGTTCTCTCACCTAGACTTTCCTAACAGCTACACAGCAAAAAGAGAAATGAAAACAAAGGAGGAATGCAGTGAAAAGATACCAAAAGGCTGCATGAATGCATTGGAATGAGGATAAGTTTACTCACTGGCTCTGACTATATATTACTGTAAATAAAATGTTTAATTACAGTGATGGAAAAATAATCTAGGATCTTTCATTTCCCAAATTTCCCAACTGAAAAATGGACCATTATAAAACTGAACAGACCTTTGACAAAGGAAGATAGTTTACGTTTGTTTTCTTTGAGCTTCGAGGCTCAAATGATAACTAGCTGGGAGGCCAGTACGAGCAGTTCTACTATAATTTAATTATATAACAAGAATAGTCTATTAGTGATAGCAAAGACATCTTTAATGCTGCAGTCTGACTCTATTACAAATTTGGACTTTTTTAATGTCAGAAGGAGGCATTGATGTCCTTTGTAGGATTTCTACCAGAACTTTTTAATGGGAAATATATCAGACACAAATCATTGTTCAAAGAGGATATTTTTTTGTCTCCAAGCACAATGTCACATGTCTCAGGAAATCCTCCAGTAAAACTATCAAGTTCAAGATGTAAGAATGGCCTGTCATGTTCATGTTCAAGTTCAAAATGAAACACTAACTGTACATGTTTTTTACGCCTGCTGTTGGGCTTACTGGATGTTGCTACAGATGCACAAATGCTTTGCATCACCTTGCCTTTGTAGCTAACCACATGAGGGTGGGTTTAATCTATTTGACCACTTAGAAAAGTGGGTTAGTTTGTAAGATCTGAATATATGGGTCCGGGCCTGTAGAAAGATTCATTCTTGTCTGGGAAAGTGGAAACAAGTAGCCTACCTGAAATAAACAAATGATACATTTGATACATTTACATTTAAGTTTACTCTAAATAGTTGACTTCCGAATTAGTTTATTGAGCAATTATAATTTTACAAACAAATGTGTTATAAAAGTACAGTCAAATGAGATCTCCAGCCACCATAAAAAGATTCATGTTATGTTTTGCTTGGTGGCGTTTTACTCATTGTGGACACCAACTTTTTTTTTTTTTTTGGTGTTATCCAATAAATATTATGTTTGGCTCAAGAGATTATTTTCTGTTCCCCCTGAGTCCCTGCAAGTGGATCCACATTCCGCAGAATGTAACAATTGTGACACATGAGTCAGCAGAGGATTTCTGGCCTGGAAACTATCTCTATGCTAAATTTGGTTATATTCCAACACAGCTAAATTAAGGGTATCTGTATAGACAGCCTGACAGACAGGTATATTAGGTAAGCTCAAATTGGCCTTTGCAAAGATATGAATAGCCTCGCTCTCTCTGTATGTGGATTTTTTTCCTCTTATATGTGGTTACTTTATAAGTCAATATCAGATTTCTAGCATGTTATTAATGTCAAATATGAAAAAATTATACATGGTCAAATGTCTGCAGGCTTTCGTCTTCATAAAAGGTGTCTGTGGCTGATTTCATTGATTAGCACGTCTTAGATTAAAAAGGGTAAACTAATCAGCAAAAGCAGCTGTACCACTGCATTTCCTGTTAGAAAGAATCTCATTTCACCTCTACTCGTCATGCGGCCGTGCTCATCTCTTCTTTGCTTTGAGAAAAACAAAACTGTTGTGGATGTGGTTCGCAATCTGTGTGGAAGCTGTCCCCCATGTGGTTTCCTGAAAATGGACTCTGAGATCAAAAGTTCTAAGGGAGATTTTGGCTAAAGGTACTCTATGCTGCTGCTACACAGAGGCTCAATTCAAACATCTGAAAGTTGTTTATTATTCTTTATTTTTTGTGACCTACAGTTATTCAGAGGAACATTTCTAACTTTATCATACTGTGCGTTTGCTTTTACTCATGAAAACAAATATGCTTCATGTCCACCAGCTAAATATTAAGCCAAGCAGCTGATTAGCTTCACACAAGGTGTTTAACGGCAGCCTGTTCACATTCCAGAGCCATCGACAGTGTTTTGTGAAAACTACAGCCATTTCTGGAATATGTGCGTGAGAAGCCCTCTTTAAAAAAAAAAAAAAGTGTGTATATATGAGTGATGCATATCTTTATTTGGTGTTCATCAGTTTCATCTTTCATTTGAGTCAAAATGTTGTTTTGATACACATCTTTTTTAAACTTCTGACCTGAATTTATTTCCAGCTTCACAGAGCCCGTTTTGACAACCAACTCCAGAGTGAATGCCACATTCACAGAGCAACTGAGCTGCCGACTATTATGCGCAAGGCTCTCACAGTCCCACTTGTTT